GTTGACCTTACGCATGCCTTGCACGAGCTCGGTTGAGAGTGTGCTCCCAAACTTCTGCTCGCAGGGGGCGGGTAGCACCGAAGCCGCCCGAGGCCATCCGAGGCCAAGGCTACCTCAGACAACAAGGCACAAACGAGTTCTTCCGCGGCCCCCCCCCCCTTGACCTGACGTTGGGCGGGCAGGGTGCTGCACGGACGTTGGCCGCCGCCGCACGCCCGACTTCAACATTGAACGCCTGGGGGGGGAGAGCAGGGCGAGCCCCTGTGGCGGCCCCCCTGCACGAGGGCAGGGGACCGCCTCTGGGAGACCCGGGTCCAGTCAGCCGCCCGTCCCCCCCCGGCCTGAGAGAGCCCCAGGAGGAGCCCAGGAGGGGTCCACTCAAGCCGCCCCCCCGGGTGCCCCCCCCTTGGTGCCCGCCCCCTGCCCCCCCCCCCCCCCGCGGCGCTCCCCTGAGGCTGAGGCCGAGGCTGAAGGCAGACTGAGGCTGAGGCTGAAGCAGGCTGAGGCTGAGGCTAAGGCAGGCTGAGGCTGAGGCTGAGGCTGAGGCAGGCTGCTGCTGAGGCAGGCTGAGGCTCAGGCTGAGGCCGATGCAGGCTGACCGCCACCTGTGCCCTCCCCCGGTGCCCTCACCCACCCAGCAGGGCCCCAAAAGTGCCTCAAGAGGACCCAAAGAGCCTCCGAAATGGCCCCCCGGGGGGCCCCGAGAGGGCACCGCGAAGGCCCCGAGAGGCCTCCTGGTGGCTACCAGAGCGTGGCTGCAGGATGCTACGCCTCCTGGGTCAGGGAAACTCGCCTGGCGATTGCTTTTCGATGGGCTGGCAGGAATACTTTTTTGGTCGCGGCCACGAGACGACGGTCAGGCGGCAAGAGCAAAGTCCGGGACGCGAACTAGGCAAATGAGCTAGAACAGGCACAGGCCGGCCGGCCCACTCACACAGCAGCCACGAGGCTGAAAGGGGGAGCTGACGGCAGACGGGGTCCTGAGAGCTCGAGCACGTGCACAGGACAAAGTGTCTCGGAATTCGGTGCTTGGCTGGCAGGAATACGCGGAACGTCACGAATAAGCCAGATGGCTTGTGTCGCAAATTCGCCCTGAGAAGCCATCGCCCCCAAAACTCGCGAGACGCTGCGTTGCACTCCCTCGAAGAGGCATCAGATAGTGATTGCTTCGAATGCGGGCGCGCAACCGACAGTCGAAACCCAAAAACAAAATTCGAATGCGGGCGCGCAACCGACAGTCGAAACCCAAAAACAAAATCCATTCACACAAAACAGGACGGCACAATCCAACCAGCTTTCACTCTGCTGACTCGCCTGGCTGACAACTTGAGGGGGGCACAGGACACCTCGCGGAGTGATTCTTTCTCAAATCCCTGCTTTGGGCCTCTGGGGGTCGTTCTCCGGGACTTTCAGAAAACGATCTGGGAGGAAGGAGCGGCCCGAGCGGCCCTCGAGGACATCGAGGGCCCTCCGCAGCCCGCGGGCCTGCGAATTCGGTCCGCCAGTAGTCTGGGCAGCAGAGGGTCAAGGAGGGGAGGACGAGGGCTGGGAAGACCCACCAGCCCCCCCCCCCGAGGCAGGCGTGGTGGGCAGGGCTCCTCCCACGACAGAACAAGAAACGAAAAAACAGAAACGCTGCCGAAGTCCAGCGAAACAGCGTTCAGGTCCAGCCCTGGTGGTGGGACAGGGGAGGCCAGCTCCTCCCAGGCGATGGCGCCCCCACCAGGGGCTGGGGTGAGAGGGGAGGGGCCCCTGGAGGGGGCGGCAACACTGCCGCTCCTCACCCCGTGCGGGCCGCCCGGGACCCCCCCCCCCCCCCCCGCGGGGGGGTTGAAGTCTATCTCTCTCTCTCTCTCCCTTCCTCGCCTCTCCCTCTTACACTGCCACCCTCCCTTCCTCTCCCTCTCTCTTTGTTTCTCTCTCTCTTTCTCTCTCTCTCTCTCTCTCTCTCTCTCTCTCTCTCCCCGTGTGAACAACTGTGAACTATGTATGACCTACAGTTGCACATACATGTGAACCTACAGGACAACGGATGCAAGTGTCAGCATGTACATACACATATGTACGCCTGTATGAATCAACTCCACTACACATAGAAAAATGGTCCAACACAGCTTGCGTTGCGACCGGGATGGCTGAGTCTGGAGACCCCGAGGAAGGCCCGACCCGCAACCCTGCGCGAGACAGCTTCAAAACGGACCAAGGCCTCAAGAGGTCCAGAAAAGACCCCCAAGAGAGCGCGCACCTGAAGTCACGCGAGCGAAGAGTCACCCTTACGAGTAGTCGACATCATCTCTCCCTCCCTCCCTCCTCCCACGAAATCGAACGAGACTCTCTCTCTCTTTCTCGCTCTGTCTCTCCCTCTCTCTCTTTCCCTCCTTTTTTTTCTCTCTCTCTCTCTCTCTCTCTCTATATATATATATATATATGTCTCCCTCCTCCTGCCTGCCCCCTCCCCTCCCCTCCCCTCCCTCCTGATTCCCTCCCCCTCTCTCTCTCTCTCTCTCTCTCTCTCCCCTCCCTCCCCATTGTTGTTTCTTGTTGCTGTTATGTCTCCCTCTCTCTCTCTCTCGCCTCCCTCCCCTCTCGAAGCTCAAAGCTCCCTCTCCTCCCTTCTGACCTTCCCACACCCCTACCCCCACAGGCCGACGAGGGGACCCAGCCGCGGAGGAGGTGGGGACCACCCCCAGGGTATCCGAGGATGAGCACCGGCTGCTCCGTCTCGCGGCAGCCATGAAAATACATGCCGTGGTACAAAGTAACGCCTCGGGAGCACAAGGGGAGGACGGAAGAGGAGGACAGGGGATGAAGGGAAGGAGGAGGAGGAGGAGGAGGACGAGGAGGAGGAGGAGGAGCACGAGGAGGAGGAGGATGAGGAGGAGGAGGCGGAGGAGGAGGAGGAGGAGGAGGGAGGAGGAGGAGGAGGAGCAGGAGGAGGAGGAGGAGGAGGGGGAGGAGGAGGAGGAGGAGAAGGAGGAGGAGGAGGAGGAAGAGAACAACAACAACAGGAGGAGAAGGAGGAGCGAGGGGGAGCGAGGGAGAAGAGGAAAAGGAGGAGGAAGAGGAAGAAGAGGATCAAGAGAACGAATAGGAGGAGGGAGGGAGGACGGAGGGAAGAGGAGGAACAGCAGGGAAGAGGCACAAGCGGAGGACAGAAGAAGAGGACAGCAGATGAAGGGGAAGAGGAGAAGGAGGTGGAGGGACAGGAGGAGGAAGAAGAGGGGGAAGAGGAGGAAGAGGAGGAGGAGGACGAAGAAGAAGAGAAGGAGCGAGGGGGAGCGATGAGGATGGGGAGGAGGAAGACGAGGAGGAGGAGGAGGAGGAAGGGAGGAAGAGGAGGAGGAGGAGGAGGAAGAGGGAGAAGAAGAGGAGGAGCAGGAAGAGGGAGGAGGAGGAGGAGGAGGAGGAGGAGGAGGAGGAGGAGGAGGAGGCGCGAGGAGGATCGAGGAGGACGACAACGGCGAGGAGGACGAGCAGGACTCCTTGCCCCTCCTCCTCATCATCATCATCACCACCAGCAATCACCACCATCACCACCAGCAGCATCAGTCGCATCATCATCATCATCATCCTCATCATCATCCTCATCATCATCGTCATCATCATCATCATCATAATCATCATCATCATCATCAGCAGCAGCATCATCATCATCAACGTCGGCATCATCAGCACCACCACCACCACCACAATAATCGTAATCATTATCATAATCAGAATCAGAATCATCATCGTCATCAGCATCATCATCATAATCATCACCATCATCATTAGAATACTCATCGTCCTGATGCTCCTCATCCTCATCCTCATCCTCCTCCACCCCTCCCCCACCCCCGTTTCTCGTTCGCCTTTCCTCCTCCACCTGCTGAATCCGCGACCCCCGCAGCTGCCCAACTTTCGAACAGGTGTCCACCGTGGTCAGGCGCATCGGCCGACCGTCCACACGGAGCCACCCGAGGGGGTGCGCCCATCCGACTGTTTTTTTTGTTCGATGCTTGGGCGGAGGGCGGCAGTCCACCCGGGCACCGGCGACGAGGCCCTCCGCCCCCCTCCAGAACAGGAGAACACACAACAGGGCAGAGGGAGGAGGGAGTTGAGAGGAGGAAGGAGAGAAGAGGGCGGAGAGAGGAGGGAGGAGAGAGGAGGGAGGGAGCAGGGAAGGAGGGAGGAGAGAGGAGGGAAGAGAACAGGGAAGAGCGAGGAGGGAGGAGAGAGCCGGAAGGAGCCGGCAGGCGGAGGAAACGGGAGCGCAGCCGCGGGGCGTGCCCCACCTAACCCCACGGTCGGGCGCGCGCGCGCCCCCTCGCCCGAGGGCAGAGAGCGGGAGAGGAGGAGGGGAGGAGAGGGCAGGGAGAGGGACCTGAGAAACGCGCAGCTCACTGGACGCGGCCAAGCCAACCGGGGGGGAGAGACGGCGGAAGAGAGGAGACGGAGCGGAGAGAGGGAAAGCCCCCGGCCCGCGCGCCGGGGACGCACGGCCCCGGGGCCGGCGGCGAGCAGGGCCGCAGCCACGCCTCGCGGGCGAGCCGCAGCCCAACGGCACCGCAGGTCGGCGAGCGGGTCGCCGCGGCGCGGCCCCTCGCCAGGGTTCGGCGCGTGCCCACAGGCGGAGAGAGTGCCCCCCCATCGGCCGCCGGCCTCGATGCACGGCCGGCCGCAGCGCTCCACGAGGGTAGCGCGCGGGTGGGGTGCGCTCACGGCCTGCCGCTGCGCCAAGCCTGGGCGGCGGGCACGGGCCCGTTTGGCGGCGCGCATGGGGAGGGGGAAGGCTTCTCAGAAGGAGGCTGCTGCTTAAAAGGCGCCCGCCTTCCATCCACAGACGAGGACCCCTCCTCCCACCCCCGTCTGCGCATGGCTGGCCTGTGCCGCGGCGGCATCGGCCGAACGCGCTTCCTCGACCGACACGTCAATGAGCAGCCGCCCCTGGCCGGCCAGGCCTCTGGGCACGAATGCGTCCAGCAGCGCCCGCTCCATGCCCCGCTGGCCTGGCCGGCCCCAGCTAGGCCCAGGTCGGGCGTGTCCTCCTACAGGCGGAGCTTGAATGTTTAAACATTTGTTCCACATTCCCCCTGCAGAGGGACGTGCCCGACTGAAAGCTAGGCACGCGCTGCCCTGTCAGAGTCTCAGGAACCACGCGCTCTCGGCACCAGTCAGCCAGCTCGTCCCAGCAATTATTGTGACGCCTGGGAGAGCTTGGGCCCATTTCGCAGCAAACGGCACGGCTGCCCCAACGACGTCGCGAAATACACCCGCACGACTGGCGGGCCACGCGGGCCTGGAGCATGCACGGCAACGCGCCCTGTCCAGCCAGGTCTTCGAAGAGCAGGCGCCGCCGCAGGCACACGCAGAACTCGCGGTCCGACATCTCATGACGACCACGACGGGTCGCTCGGAGCCACGCGCCGCCCTCCAACGCCTGCGAGCTGAGGCGAGCGACCGCGTCGTCCTGCCGCACTGCCTTGAGCTGTCGGTTCCGCCTGGCTATCAAAGGCTGGGCGATGGCCTTCTGAGTGCGAGCTGCCACTCGTCCGCCCGCCGCCCGCACTCGCTGCGTCGCCGCCCGCATTGCCCGATGCCACTGCGGGGCGGGCAGCTCGGACTGCGCCGACGTCTCCGCGCGCTGCAAGCGATAGACGACGGCCTCCACCTGTGCCCAGGAGCCGAGGAAGGCAGGGTCCGTCCTCGAGAACAGGGCCTTCTGGGAGAAGTCCGACAGCGGCTCGCCGAGCCAATCCCCGACAGTGGCAGGGACCTGGTCGTCAAATCGGCGGCGCTGCACGGGGTCGCGTGCCTGCGCGCGCTGAGCATGAGTGACAGCGCCGTTCACGAAGCTCGCAAACATGACCCGCGCATCGCGCGTTGCTCAGTCATGGCGGACGACGGTATCCAAGCGGTCTGCGAAGGCGACAGGCCTTGCCCTTGAGCGATCCCTCTGGGCTGACCCGTCGCGGCACGTCGCGCCAGTCATCGCCCTCCTTCTGGAGACGTCTGCTGCGCACGTAGAGTATCGACCGTCATCCTCCTCCTCCTCCTCCTCCTCCTCCTCCTCCTCCTCCTCCTCCTCCTCCTCCTCCTCCTACGCCTCCTCCTCCTCCACCTCCTCCTCCTCCTCCTCCTCCTCCTCCTCCTCCTCCTCCTCCTCCTCCTCCTACGCCTCCTCCTCCTCCGAACGCCGAATCATCCCATGCAACACAGAATATGCAGCATTGAATATATATATATATATATATATACATACAGATATATACATAAGTATAGATGTGTATGTATATATGGATTGCAAGTGGAGAACCCACGAACTGAATTAATGTATCTTAATGTTGGTTGGACTGTATGTCATTCATGGTGATACTTGTTTTGAGCATGTGTCATTCCCTATTTAGGCTCTGCCTAGAAGGGTTCTTACTCTCTGAGCTTAAAGGGGTCGGGCAGTGGGGCTCGCCCCGGGCGGTTCCCTCAGGATCCGCCCCGCGGTTCCTCCAGTTACGTCCCCTTAGCTCAGCGTTGCTTATCTCATCTTAGTTTAGCTTATTTCATATTAGCGTAGCTTAGCTTCATATTAGCTCAGGTTTATCTTAGCTTAGCTTACCTTCATCTTAGCTTCGCTGAGCTTTAGCATAGCAGAGCACAGCATAGCACAGCATAGCATAGCATAGCGTAGTATAGCATAGCGCAGCACAGCATTTCATAGCATAGCCCATCATAGCATAGCATAGCGCAGCATAGCATAGCTTAGCATAGCATAGCATAGCTTAGCATAGCACAGCGCAGCATGGCATAGCGTAGCATAGTTTAGCATAGTCTAGCTTAGCTTAGCATAGCAAAGCATTGCATAGCATAGCATAGCGCAGCATAGCATCGCATATCATAACATAGCATAGCATAGCGCAGCATAGCATGGCATGGCATAGCATAGCATAGCATAGCAACTAATGCTGCTTTCCTAGGGGCTGTCGCACTGGGGTAATTTATGTTGGCTGGTCGCCCAGGCAGTGAGATTGGCCGCCATCAACAAAGGACTACTCACAAACAACACACACACACACAAATTCGGTACAGTGCACCTGGACTGCGCCGTCCTGTACGTCTTCCCACAGTTGTCCCAAAACCATGCTTGCTCTTAGGGGTTCTTACTCAGGTCACTCGGCGGTGGACAAGCCTCCCTTTAGTAAACCAACGTTTAGTGAAAACGGCCTGGGATCAAAACCGACGGACCTGGACCCGCAAAGAAGAACGGCCGCGACGCCCTCTCGCGAACCGAAAACGGCCAGTTCACTGGTCGACGTGTCAGGGCAGGAGGCCCATCAGGAAGGGGCCCCAGGACACACAGATAAATACACCCTGCGAAATGCTTAAGAAATCATGGGTTAAGAAATTCATAGTCTCAGAACTTGAATAAAAACCCAACATTTCCATTCAAATCTTAGGATTTACAGGAAAACATTAAGAATAATCGAGACTCTGGCCGAAAACTTAGGTTTTCTTAAGCATCGCCTAAGGTGTACGCACAAATATCTACGATGAATTGTGTCTGTGTGTTTTTTCCCCCCTGATTTCAACCTCCGAGCCACCTCGGGAACAGCACGGGCGTGCCGAGCTTTCGCGTGGCGCCCGCCGGCGCCCGCCCGTGGGCGCCTCGCGGGCCCGTGGGCACTGCGTGCGCCGGGCGGGCGTGCCGAGGTATCGCCCGAGAGCCCGCCCGCGGGCGCCCGCGGGCGGGCTCGTGGGCGCGCCTCGTGCGCCGGGCGGTCGCAGCGGTGGCACCACGCGGCTTCTGCCGCAGAGCGTGCCCCGCACAGCCTGCACCGCGCAGCTGACGCCACGTAGCTCACACCGCACAGCTTGCACCCAATCGGATCGCACCGCACAGCTTGCACCATGTGGATTGCACCACGCAGCCTGCACCGCAGAGGCTACACCACACAGCTTGCACCACACAGCTTGCACTGCATACCTTACACCATATATATATATATATATATACATATATGGCACCGCATAGCTTATACCACATAGCTTGCACCACACATATCCTACTCATCCATACTGCAGCAACAACTTACTGAGCGGAGTCTACGCTGGCAAACGTTACATGTGTCATTTCTCAAGCCCTGCCTCGCCTCTTCAGCGCTCTGCTCAAGACCCCTCAAGTGGGATATGTTACAGGTGCTTGTAGCCCGCAGAGAAGCGAAACTCCTTCTCCTCCTCACTCTGTTTCCCTCCTGTCCCTCCCCTTTTTCTCTCACTTGCTTCTCCTCTGGCTCTTCCTACCCACACTTCGGCAAGCAGCACTAGCTGAGCACTGCGCGGGGCGAGGGCCGCAGCTAGGGAGCGCGCCAATAATTCCAGCAACCAGAAATAAAAAAGCGCCCATCACGCTCACGTTGACCAGCCTGGGGATCGAGCTGAGGACAGTGTTGACCAGCACCTTCCCCTCTCCGCGCTACTGCCATCGTGTACGCCAGGTTAGTGTCTCGGCGACGTCGGCCTTGATTTCTGACACCGCGTGGATCCTTCAACCTTGAGCGATCGCGGATTTCCGATAGCGCCGATCACTCCGTGTCGGCCGATCCTGGGCCACTGGCGGCGTTCAACCCTGGACGCCTGCGCCCGCGGTCGCCGCCGCGTGGAATGTCGCCCTCCTGGAAGCCGCTGTAGGTAGCCTTCACAGCTGCAATGTCAAGATCACGATTGGTAGCTTGGCCGCAGCGGCTGTGGTGAGCGCAAGCAAACAGCGGTCAGTTCGCCGTCCGAGCGGGTGTCGTTCCAGTGGGCCATGGAGGCGGGAAGTGGGCAGGGTAGCCACACGGCGCAAGATGCAAGCTGCAAGCAGCATTCAGGCAGAGCGAGAGCCAAAAAGATCAGGGAGAGGGCGAGAGAAGTGAGGAGCGAATGGTTGACGTGGGAGGGTCGATCGAAATATCCGCAGCCACCTTGAGCAGAGGCTTGTGTGTGACCTCCTCCCTGCTCGGTGCTCCTCTCTTTCTCATCCTCCTGTTCCTCCTCCTCCTCCTCCTCCCTCCTCCTCCTCCTCCTCCTCCTCCTCCTCCTCCTCCTCATTACCATCATCATCATCTTCATCATCTTCATCATCATCATACTCCTCTTTATGATCCTCATCACCATCCTGGCCCGCTTGGGAAATAAACGTAATATGTTTCACAAAACTCTAATAAGAATTCCTGCATAAGGACCCTCTTGAGTAAGGATTTCAGGAAGGATTATTACGAAGTACCCATTCAGTAAGGCAGAAAGGATTCCTTGCGAAGGATGATTTTAGCAAGGAATCCTTGGATAAGGCTTATTTTAACAAGGAAGTAGTCTGTCAGGATATCTTGGCCAAAGATGTCTTCATTATTGCTTCAGTGGTATGTTGGACAGTTTGTCGTTGGTTAAATATTCCTGAAGCAAAGATTCAATGATATGCATTCGATGATTTGACGGATCCCTTCGAGCAAACAGTCCGCTAGTAAGGAGTACGTAAGTAAGGGCTCCTGGGCCAGGATTCATCGGTAAGGACTCCTGGATAGGATTCCTCTAGGAAGGATCCTTGCAGCAACGACTAGTCGAGCAATGATTCATTCAGTAAGGACTCTGTGTGCGACTGCTCGCAAAGTAAAGATATGAGAGAGCGCGCCCACAGCGCCGGAGCAAAGGGGGGGTGAGGTCCCCCCTTAGCTACCCCCCCCTTTCCTTCCACACCCCCCCTTTCGCCACTCCGAAGCTACCCCCCCTCCCCTCTTTCCAAAGGGAGGGGGGGCTTAGTTACCCCCCCCCTCCCCTTGACCCCCCTCTGCCAGAAGCTACCCCGCCCCTTCCCCCCTTTGATTCCAAAGGGGGGGGGGGGCTTTTGGTTCCAAAGGGGGGGGGGCTTAGCAGCACCCGGGAAGCCCCTCCCCTCCCCCCCCCCCCCCTTACGAAAGGGAAGGGGGGCTTAGCTACCCCCTCTCCTTTGACCCCCCTCTGCCGGAAGCCCTCCCCCCCCCTTCCCTCCATTTTTCTCACCCCTACGCGAAGCTACCCTCCCTTCCCCCTCTTTCCAAAAGGGGAGGGGCGGCTTAGCTACCACCCCCCTCCCTTGAACTCCCCCTGCCGGACGATCCTCCCCAGTCGCCGTCGTCGTTGCAGTCGCCGTCGCTCGACGTCTTCGTACGAAGCAGTCGTCGTCCTCGTCGTCGTCGTCGCGACCGACGCCGTCATTGTCGCCGTCTTCGTATGACCTCGTCGTGTTCGTCACGACGAGGACGAGGTCATACGAAGACAGCGACGGACGACGGACGACGCACGACCGACGACCGACGACGACGACGACCTGGGGTCAGAGAAAACGAGACCACGACCCAGCGGCTGAGAAAACGAGGAAACGAAGCAGGGTCCCAGAAAACGAGACCACGGCCCAGGGGCCGAGAAAACGAGAAAACGAACCAAGGTTCGAAAAAACGAGCCAAGATCCGAGAAAACGAGACCACGACACAGTGGCCAACAAAACGAGACAACGAGAAAACAAACCAGGGCCCGAGAAAGCGAGAACACGATCCAAGGGCCGAGAAAAAGAGAAAACAGACCAGAGCCCGAGGAAACGAAACAGAAACCCAGAAGCCGAGAAAACGAGAAAAAGAGACGATGAACCAGGGTCCGAGAAAACGAGACCATGACCCAGGGTCCGAAAAGCCGAGAAAACGAGAAAACGAACCAAAGTCCGAGCAAACGAGACACGACCCAGGCCGAGAAAACGCGAATATCGGGCCGCGAAAACGAGACCACGACCCAGGGGCCGACAAAACGAGAATACTAACCAGCGTCCGAGAAAACGAGACTATGACCCAGGGACCGAGAAAACGAGAAAACAAACCAGCGTCCGACAAAACGAGACTATGACCCAGGAGCCGAAAAAAAACGAGAAAACGAGAAAACAGACCAGCGTCCGAGAAAACTGGACCACGACCCAGGGGCCGAGAAAACAAGAAACGAGAACACGAACCAGGGTCCGAGAAAACACGAGACCACGACCCAGGAGATGATAACACAAGAAAACAAGAAATCGAATCAGGTTCAGAGAAAACGAGACCACGATCCAGGGGCCGAGAAAACGAGAAAAAAAACAACGAACCCACGCCCGAGAAATCGAGGCAAAAACCCAACGCCGAAAAAACGAAAAAACTAACCCGGGCTTGAGAATACGAGACCACGACCCTGGGACCGAGAAAACGAGAAAACGTGAAACGAACCAGGGTCCGAGATAACGAGACTACGACCCAGGGGCCGAGAAAACGAGAAAACGAGAATACTAACCAGCGTCCGAGAAAACGAGACTATGACCCAGGGACCTAGAAAACGAGAAACAAACCAGCGTCCGACAAAACGAGACTAAACGAGAACACGAACCAGGGTCAGAGAGAACGAGGGGCCGAGAAAACCAGAAAACGGACCAGGGTCAGAGAAAACGAGACCACGACCCAGGACCCGAGAAAGCGAGAAAACGAGGAAACGGACCAGGGTCAGAGAAAACGAGACCACGACCCAGGACCCGAGAAAGCGAGAAAACGAGAAAACAACGAACCAGGGTCCCAGAAAACTGGACCACGACCCAGGGGCCGAGAAAACAAGAAACGAGAACACGAACCAGGGTCCGAGAAAACACGAGACCACGACCCAGGAGATGATAACACAAGAAAACAAGAAACCGAATCGGGTTCAGAGAAAACGAGACCACGATCCAGGGGCCGAGAAAACGAGAAAAAAAAAAAAAACACAACGAACCCACGCCCGAGAAATCGAGGCAAAAACCCAACGCCGAAAAAACGAAAAAACGAACCCGGGCTGGAGAATACGAGACCACGACCCTGGGGCCGAGAAAACGAGAAAACGTGAAACGAACCAGGGTCCGAGATAACGAGACTACGACCCAGGGGCCGAGAAAACGAGAAAACGAGAATACTAACCAGCGTCCGAGAAAACGAGACCACGACGCAGGGGCCGAGAAAACGGGAAAACGAACCAGTGTCAGAGAAAACAAAACCACAGTCCAGGGGCCGGGAAACGCAGAACACGAGAAACCGAACCAGGGTCCCAGAAAACGGGACCGCGATCCAGGGGCCGAGAAAACAAAAAGCGACCACGACCCAGGACCCGAGAAAGCGAGAAAACGAGAAAACTGACAAGGTTCAGCGGAAAAATGAACCACTGCCCAGGGGCCGAGAAAACAAGAAAACGGGAAAACTAAGCAGGGTCCGAGAAACCGAGACCACGACCCAGGGGCCGAGAAAACGAGAAAACGAGGTAACGAACCAGGGTCAGAGAATACGAGACTACGACCCAGGGGCCAACAACACGAGAAAACGAGAAAACGAACCAGAGTCCGAGCAAACGAGACCACGATCCAAGGGCACAGAAAACGTGAAAACGAACCAGGGCCCGAGAAAACACGACCACGACCCAGGGGCCGAGAAAACGAGAAAACGATAAAAGGAATCAGAGCCCGAGAAAACGAGACTACGAACCAGGGGCCGAGAAAACAAGAAAACGAGAAAACGAACCAGGGTCAGAGAAAACATGACCACGACCCAGGGACCGAGAAAACAAGAAAACGAGAAACCGAACCAGGCCCCGAGAAAACGAGACCATGACCTAAGGGCCGAGGAAACCAGAAAACGGGAAAACGACCCACGACCCAGGGGCCGAGAAAACGAGAAAACGAGAAAACGAACAAGGGCCGAGATCACCCAAGAACGCTGGTTCGAGAAAACGAGACCACGACCCAGGAGCCGAGAAAACGAGGAAACGAGAAAACGAAGCAGGGTCCGAGAAAACGAGAGCACCACCCTCTGGCCGAGACAACGAGAAAGCGAGAATACTAACCTGCGTCCGAGAAAACACAAGACCACGACCCTGGGGCCGAGATAACAAGAAAACGAAAAAACTATGCAGGGTCCGAGAAACCGAGACCACGACCCAGGGGCCGAGAAAACGAGAAAACGAGAACACGAACCAGGGTCAGAGAAAACGAAACCACGACCCAGGGGCTGAAAACACGAGAAAACAAAAACGAACCAGGGTCGGAGAAAACATGAAAACGATAAAAGGAATCAGGGCCCGTGAAAACGAGACTACGAACCAGGGGGCGAGAAAAGAAGCAAACGAGAAAAAGAACCAGGGGTCGACGTTATTCTCCAAGGCGTTCTCTAGCGCTGCGGCGCGAACCTCTGAAGGGATTCAGCCATTTTACCAGAACCCCGGAACGGAGGAGGGGGGAGCTTCGAAAGCCCCCCGCCTTTGCAAAGGAGGGTGGAGGGGGGGAGCTTGAAGCCGCCCCCCCTGTGTCCAGACCAAAAAAGGAAGAGGGGGAGGTAGCTTTTGAAGCCCCCACCCCCCTGGAAAGGGACGCCTGGGCTCACCTTCTGCTCCGGAAAAGGGAGGGAGGGGGGGGATAGCTTCGAAGCACCCGCCGCCTTTAGCCAGGGCCCCCCTAGCTTAGAAACCAAGGGAGGGGGGGGTAGCTTCGGAAGCTCCCCCACCCTTTTGCAAGGGAGGGGGGGGTAGCTTGAAGCCAGGGCCCCCCTTCCCTTATTCCCAGCGCTGCGGGCGCGCTCTTTCAAAGATATCCTCGGTTAGGATTCCTTTGCAAAGATTCGAATAACAAGGGATTGCGACATTCCTTCAAATTTCTGGGTGCCAATTTCAATGGAATTTCTTCTGGATTCCTTGAATACGGAATCCTTGCAATGAGGCTTAATGAATGAGGATTCGCTAGTAAGGACCCCTGCGCAAGGGATCCCCCCAATGCGAGGCCCCGGGGGATCCCTGGACGCCCCCGCACAAGGACCCTTGGGCTTTCCGGGGCTTCTGGAAGCCCCAGCGGGGCCTAGCTAGGCACCAGACACAAATCGGTCAGGAGGGCGGCCGAACGGCCCCGCGGCCCGCGAGATCCCCAGGAGGTTCCAGACACCCAGCTGACGCCCGAAAACGACCCAAAGGAGACCCTCATAAAAGGCATTCGAAACGCAAAAGGTATTGATTTCCAATGGTTCTGTATGGGAATGCTCTGTTCTTCGGCCTGCCAGGGGTCCGAGACCGCCTAGGAGGGCAGAACATCGCGCCATAACTACCCGAAAGGACTTCCAGGCAGTTCAAGAGAGCCCCAAGACGGCCCAACAGGGCCCCAAATGACCCCAAAGGGATCTCCATTGACGGCACAAGCTGGCATTAAGACGCCCCCCCAAAGCTTTCAAAATCCGTGACCCGATCGTTCAGGGAGACCGCGGTTGGAAGCAGGGCGGCCCGGGGAAGCTCCCAGAAGTCCCCAGAAAGAACCCAAGCGGCCTTCAGATGGCCCCGAGTAGCCCTTAAGTACAGTCGTGAAGGAGGAGCCTCCGCAACAAGAGCTAAGGAAGCACGCGGACTAATTCGCAAAGTAGGGCGAGAATGAGAATAAGAAAGAAAATGAAGAAAAAATACGGAATATAATTATTAGAACGACGATGTCGGAAAACGCAGCAAGGAATCATGGCTAAGTTTGCAGAGGTACCTTCCTGCCCTGCCGCCTGCATGCCAAACGTGGAGGACCACGGCGCATGGCGCAAAACACCATTGCGCTCTCGCATGCGAATGTTCATAAATGTAGACGTACGCATATAAGAGTGAGCATATGTATATATACACACACAGCTACACATACAAGTCCCCATGTACAGATACATGTACGCGTACATCGACATACACATGTACATTTACACATATACTTACATATACGTGCTCAATTCCATAATGATATAAATTTACATGTAATATGCACAGAACATATACAAATACGTATACATTCACATATTCATAAACATATACAAGACCTGTACATATACACATGCACAAATATATACATAGACATATACGTAGACATGTCCGCATAAATATAGATGTACCAAGACATAAACATAGACAGACATACACATCTACATAAATATGTACATTTGCACGTGCAAGTACATCTACATACACATACATGTATTCATATGTATATACACATACATATATCAATATTCGTATACAAATACATGCAAGAATAACTGTACATATACGTATGCATAGACATATGCATACGCATTACAAATATTCTGTACAAGTACACATGGACATATACGTATACGTATACAAACACCTATGCGTATACGTAGAAACCTACCCATACGTAAACGTATACGTATACGTATACGTGTACGAATACATGTACCCATACGACGACACGTACACATACATGCACCTATAACTAAACGTACACTCACGCATAGAAAATACATACTACACGTACTATACATAGATACACACAGACATAACGATATGTATGCAGATATACATAAGTGAACATTAGAAAACGCACGTATACCTAACCTTACGCATGCACTTGTACATATACAAACATACATACAAGCACATATATATATATATACATCAGCAAATACATGTGCATATGCATAAGTAAATACCCATGCAAAAACATATACATATACGCGGGACGACACCTCTTCATACCCGATGCGCATGTACGTGTACCCATAAATATGCATGAGCATGAACAAAAAGATGTAATATACAAAAACATCGGTACATGCATATACATATATAGGCACATACATATACATATATATATATACACACAAACAGATACAAATACATGTAAACTTATACGTATAATGGGGTGGAGAATATTCGTGCGTCTGCATAGTTGCAAACGTGTACACGAACATGATCCGAAAAAAAAATACGCATACATACGCACATACATGTACATATGCAAAGACACAAACACAGGCATATACATCAACACACTCAAATACATAGAAACATAAACATATTGATGCAATGACATCGACATACACATACCTATACATACGACTATTGGTATGTGAATTATATGTATATGCAACCACCGCGTGTTAGGAAAACCCACACCGATGGAGCCCGTAGTTATGTCGCGCGGTCGTGCTACATGTGGACCACAATTGGTATTCCTGGCACCGTGCAATTAGTTCGGTTTGTACACGCCCACCACGGAGTATGTTAATCATCCCTTCAGTGTCGAAGGAAACGTAACACATCCCGTTGTGTGTTGTGAACGCGGGGCGCCCATAACAAATGTTACTCAACCGCGCATACCAACCCAGGCCAGGCCAAGCAATTTGCGAGGCAGTTTCAAGCGAAGCTGGACCCACACCAGGCCAAACCTGGTAAATGTTGACGACGCGTCCAGCGAAGCTGGGACCGAACGAGGCCAAACCACTTTGCCAAACCAGGCAAATTCTGCGGACGTCCCAAGCGAAACTGTGCTCAAACCAGGGTCCAAACCAGGCAGATTTTGAGGATATCTCCCGCGGCGCGCGCTCAAACCAGGGGCAGAACAATTTAGATGTTTAGGACGTCCCAAGCAGAATCGCCCAAACAAGGCTGCATCCACTTTTTTTTCAACAAAAAAAATCAAAACCATGGACCACCCCAGGCCCCGCCCCCGCAAGCGGAACCCCGGTTAGAATTTAAGGGGGGAGGGGCGTTTTGACCGCGCGCCCGCTGATGCGGTCGGAGTTGGGCGCGGAAGTTTTCATTTGTCTTTCGAATGTTTTGGGGGCATCGGCTTGGCGCTAGGAGAAATTATTCCGAATTTGTAGGGAGAGAGAGAGAGAGAGAGAGAGAGAAGAAAAAAAAAAAAAGGGAGGGGCAGAGAGAAAGTCTTGGAACCCACTAGCGGCGCTAATCTGGTAGAGGAGCCCGAAGCAGTCGTGGGGATTTATCCCAGGAATGCTTTTCCTCGTGAGCGCACGCGGCATGATATTATGTCGGGCGTTTGTCGTGCATTCGGCACCCAGATAATCCCACAACATAGGCATGGAAGTACTCGTCGTGCGTCGCGTCGCCACTGTACTGGGTACAAACAACTGCACGATAGTCAAGGGGAGTGAGTGTGCAAAGGGATCCAGGTCTGCCGGGTAGCAGGGAGCACGCGACTAACGAGGATGGTCATGTTCCTGGTGGTCGATGACGGAGTCTCATATTCGTTGCGCTGCCCCCTCGAGAGCTGACAACATGATCGTCAAACCCTCCACTATCTTCCCGGTGTTTCCTGCCTGTGTATGACCCAGCCCCGACCACATAGTCACAGGGGACTCGAGACGCTTCGCCAACACCTGTGACGCGAACGTCGGATCAATCGATTGTGTGACACCGTCGGCTACACCCGCAGGCGGATGCAATGGAGGCGTCGCGACCGTTGCCTCTTTGCCCCAAGGCTCCTGGAACATAGTCGGAAGGAGCTCGGGGCCTTACGCCAAAACCAGAAACATGAACGTTGTGCCGAGCAACTGTCTGACGTCGGAGGTTACACTCACAAGCGAATGCACCGATGGCGTTGGGCCTTCGATCTGGTCAGACGTAGTTCGAGCCAACCCAGGAGCGGGTGCCGGAAAGGAGAGCGCAGGGACGCGGTCCTTGGAGTAGTTGTTCATGTGGTGGTAGATGTGCGCTCCGTGGTCGCACCTGGCGGCTGGGCGGGTCGTGCCGCGACGGCCCCCGGAGGGCCGTCGCCTGCCGCGATGCACGGGTAGAGGATCGCGAACACGGTGAGCACGGCGCGCTTGACGAGGCTCTCCTTGGAAAGGCTGCGTCGCACGGAATTCTGGTGAAACGCAGGTCATCGAGACAGCGCAGGAAGGGAGTGCCGCGCGGGCCATGGCGGCGGCGGGGAATGGAGCCGGAGCTCCGCTACCGACTAAAACCGGGCACGGGAGCGCTGCAGGCTCCCGCGCCCCAGAGTCAAACGGCGGCGGCAGGTAGACAACTAAGAGGGGGAAGCATGGGACGGATACCGCTCGAGTAGAGGAGGAGGAGGAGGAGGAGGAGGAGGAGGAGGAGGAGGAGGAGGAGGAGGAGGAGGAGGAGGAGGAGGAGGAGGAGGAGTAGGAGGACGAGGAGGAGGAACAGAAGGAGGAGGAGGAGGAGAAGGAAGAGGAGACGTAGAGGACGAGGAGGAGGAGGAAGAAGAATAAGAAGAAGGAGAAGAAGAGGAGGAAGGAAGGAGGAGGAGGAGAGGAGAAGAAGGAAGAGAAGGAGGAGGAGGAGGAGGGCACAAGGGAGCCTTCATCTGGGGCACCGCCTGGAGCGACCGGAGCGGCCTCAGAATCCGGAACATCCTGAGGAAGCTGGTCCCTGGCGCCCGCGCCGCTCGCTGGGCGAGCGACTCGGGAGAGGTTCGAGGAAGGGCGGGGGGGAGGAGAAATGGGAGGAGGAAGAGGAGGGGGAGGAGGAGGAGGAGAAGGAGGAGGAGGAGGAGGAGGAGGAGGAGGAGGAGGGAGGGGGGGGAGCAGGAGGAGGAGGAGGAGGAGGAGGAGAAGAGGTGGAGGAGGAGAAGGAGGAGGAGAAGGAGAAGGAGGGAGAGAGAGGAGTAGGAGGAAAAGAAGGAGGGGAAGGAGGAGGAAGAGGAGGAGGAGGAGAAGGAGGAGGAGAAGGAGGGGGAGGAGGAGGGAGGGGGGGGGAGCAGGAGGAGGAGGAGAAGGAGGTGGAGGAGGAGAAGGAGGAGGAGGAGGAAAAGGAGGGAGAGAGAGGAGTAGGAGGAAAAGAAGGAGAGGAAGGAGGAGGAAGAGGAGGAGGCGGAGATAGGAGGAGGACGAGGAGAAAGAGGAAGAGGGGAAGGAAGAGGAGGAGGAGGCAGAGGAACAGGAGGTGGAGGAGGGTGGAGGAAGGAGGAGGGTTCGAGAGGAGGGAGGGAGGAGGAACGGAGGAAGAGACGATAAAATCTGAAAAATGGTAGGAAAAGGAAGAGGAGGAGGGCCAGTAAAAAAAACGAAGACTCATCAACGATGTTGGAATACACCCTCCTTCCGAGCTTCCTCTTCACAGGCCCTTACAATGATCCATTTCCACTGAGGCAAGTGCCCCGTTGGGAAACAGCCGATTAAAGATCCTGAAACGTGCCAAAGTACAGTTCTCGGAGCTTCAACGCCACGAATCAACATGACTGTTGCGTCTTGACGATCCTGAATCACGCAAGAACACCATTTTGGGGATTTCAACACCGCGATTCCACGAAGCTGTTACCTCCTGATAATCATGAATATTTCCAAACACACAATGTATAATACGGCAAGCATGGGATTCCTTGAAATTCCGTGAACCTGTTATAAATTTTTAAGACGAATATGCGCGGCGCTAATCAAGGCGAGAGCCACAGTTTGAAAAAGAACCGCCCTCAATCCGTGAAACCGTTGCCAGAAGTTTTAAGTCGAATGTGCGCGGCGCTGAGGCGACGGCCGCATTTTGAAAAGGAACCGCCTTCAATCCGTGAAACTTCTGCGGAGTGCACGCGGCGCTAAGGCGAGAGCCGCATTTGGAAAACGGCCCGACCTCAATCCGTGAAACTCTTGCAGTGCTGAGAACGAATGCGAGCGTCGCTAAGGCGAGAGACACATGTTGGAAGCGGCCCGCCCTCCATCTGAGAAGCTGCTGCCAAGTTGAATTTTCAGGATCAGACACGGCGAGAAAAAGATCATGCGAAACGCCAAGTCCGCTTTTCCGACCGACCTCGGGGTGCGAGGAAAAAAAAAAATGAGGAGGAAAAGGGAGGGAGGAGGTAAAGAAAGGAGCGAGGGGGGAGGAGGAGGGAGGCGGAGGAACAGGAGGGAAGGGGGAGGGAGGGGGGAGAGGAGGGGGCGAGGAGCGGAGCAGGGGAGGATAGAGTCGGGGATACAGGAGCCTCCGGAGCAGGGGCCGAGGAGAGGGGGAGGAGGGGAAGAGGGAAGGAAGGAAAGAAGGAAGGAAGGAGGGAAGGGAGAGAGGGAGAGGGAGAAGAGGAGGGAGAGGGAGAGGGAGAGGGAGAGGGAGAGAGGGAACGGAAGAGACTGAGAGGATGAAAGAGAGAGGGAAAGGGAGAGACAGAGAGAGGGAGAGAGGGAAGGAAGGAAGGGACTCGAGAGGGAGAGAGGAGGGGGTTGCTGGGGCGCGGGCAACAGCAAAAAAGAGAGAGGAGAAGGGTGCCTCCGTCCTCTTTCCAGCTGCGGCACCGCTGGCACGCTTCTGCCAGCACAGGAGGGAGATGAGATGATGTCGATGATCCTCTGAACGGGTGCTGGCGACATCGTGAGCTTGTCCACCGAGGAGCCTCCAGCACGACGCGGGTGGTGAAACGAGGGCCGACATAGGCTGCGCCCTGCTGGTGGAGCTGAACGGTGTACACACACACACACACACACTCTCTTGTCGGTCGTAACTACGGGGCGTGAAAACGATCACAGCCACTGCTTTTCTTTTGTTGCCGCCTTCCAGCCCGCAGAAACAAAGCAGTGGTTGTGGTCATTTTCGTTGAACTTGGCACCAGGGAAATGACCACAACCACGGCTTCATTTTCGGCCAGCTGGAAGGCGGCGCAAACAAGAAGCAGTAGCTGTGGTCATTTTCCCGTCCCGCAGTAGCGCAGCGGCGGCTCGCCGCCGCGCCGGGCGCCCGCACGGCCGGAGCCGCGCCCGCACGCAGCGTCGTCGGAGAGGAAGGGAGGAGAAGACGGCCGGCCCCTCGCGGGGCAGTGACCGGGCGGCGGCGGGGCAGGCGACGGGCAGCGGCCGCGGGGGCGGCGGGGCAGCGAGCGGGGCGGGGGCCGCAGGCGGCGGAGGCAGGGCGGGGCAGCGTGCAGGGAGGCGCCACGCCGGAAGGGCGGGCGCAAACGAGCTGCTCGCGGCGGCGGAGCCGAGGCGCCGGGCCAAAGCTGGGCGGGCAGGGGGCCTCGGCAGGGAGGCACCAGGCGGGCGGCTGGAGCCGGGAGAAGTCGCAGCGCGCTGGCGAGCCCAGCAGACCGCGTGGGAGGGCGGGCGTGGCGGACTGGCCGCGCCGGGAAGGCGGGCAGAGACGGCCTGGGGAGCAGAGCCAGAGCGGTGTCCAAGAGGGCGACGCCCTACCAGCAGACAGACGGGGGCGGCCAAGGGCCGGAAAAGCACGGCGGGCAGACCGCGAGGCCAGGGGAGGCGCGGACGCCGAGAGCGCGGACACCGCCCGAGGAGAACAGCGGGCCGCGGGGGGTGGGGGGGGGGGAGCGGGCCCCAGGGCGGGAGCAAGCCGAGGCAACGGTCGACGCCGAGAGGCCCCCAGCGGACGGAATCGCTGCGAAGGCGCAAAAAAAAGAGCCCAGCTGGCGCGCCGAAGCCGGGGCCGACCAGGGGGCCGAGCAGAGGCTGAGGAGGACAAACGGACGGATAGCGCGCCGCCCAGCCGAGCCAGCAGGCCCAGGCCTGGGCCGGAGACGAGAGGAGCCAGCACCGCAGGCCAAGTGGTCGAAGCAGGGTCGACACCGAGGGCTCCTGGCGGATCGCCCCAAGACCGCGTCAGGCGGGGCAGAAAGCCACCGCGGACCCGGCAAGACCAGGGCATGGCCGAGGACGGGCGGGGGTGAGCAGCAAAAACTGGAGCTGGGTCAAGCCGGGGCGAGGCGGCAGACCAGCAGAAGGCGGCGGAGGGGCAGGCAGGCGGCCCAGGGGGCGTACCAGAACTACACGGCGCGCCACGGGCGGGCAGATCCGCACCCGAAGCAGCAGGAGCGAAGTGCCAAGGCAAAGCCCGCAGCGGCAGCAGGGCAGAGGCGGCGAGGGGTCGACACAAGGGGTCCCCAGCACACCAGCGGACGACCGCGTCGGGTGGAGCACGCGGCCGCCGCAGGCCTGGCAAGACTACGAGGGCCGGCGCAGGCTGGGCGGGGCGCGGGCAGCAGAAGGGGCAGAGCCCAGCCGGGGCGAGGCGGCAGACCTGCGAGGGCGGCGGAGGGCGGGCGGCCGACCCAAGGATGCGCAAGCGAGCCCGACGCCGCGCGCCAGAAGCGGGCAGATCTGCGCTCGAGGCAGCAGGGGCGAGAAGCCAAGCAGGCGCACCCTCAGCCACTTGACCTGGTCGCCGGCGGTCTCCAGTCACCCGTTGAACGCCATGCCGAAGGCATCATCGACGCCCGCCCTGCTCGGGCCAGTGGACGGGAGTGGCCGAGCGGGGTGCTGAGCGCGCTGCGCTGGCGCTCTTCGTCGCCAGCACCGTCACCATCGTCTAGCGCGAAGTGGCTATCGGCGGTGTGAAACCAGTTGGTGCCGACGATACAAGAGATGGCGCTGCGGTCGGGAGGCGAGTGCGAATCGCTGCGGTCCTGCACCGGGGGCACCGCGCGGGGGCCGAGGGGCTGCGGGGCGCCGCTGCGGCCCGACGAACGCACGTCGAGGCCGGCGGTTGAGCGGCCGAGGCGAGACGCTCCCGCATCGACCGGGCGGCCGCCTCGGATGGCGCCCCGGGCGCTGGAGTTTTCTCGAGATCGGGTACGCCTGGTGAGAGGAGGTCTCAAGTACGTCAATGACGCGCTCGACTCGCCCCTCCACAACTTGGCCACGATTGACGTGCTGTCCCTGGGCGTGCAGGATAACCACGGCATCATGGAGGAGACCCTCAGCAAAGGGGGGTAGCCTACAAAGGAAATCTGACGACGGGTTTCGACCTAACCACCGAGGCGGGGTTCCAGCGATCTCTCCAGCAGCTGAAGGAGATCGAACCTAGGCACCTGTTCATGGCGCTCCCTGCGAATATCCCAGCGACCCCTGCCCTGCAGAGCCGCATAAAGCTCATCACCCACTACCTGGCACTCCTGGGCGAGGCGGCCGTCGATTGAAGTACAAGGTGACGGCTCTGTTTCCTCAAGGCGCATGGCTGTTTCATGAGGAACAAGTACGGCGCCTGCGCACTCAGTGATACACTCTGGCGGCGTCCAAGGGAGACCGTTTCCTGATCACCAGATCTACAGCCGTGGCTGACCAGATGGCTCGCACAGATCTTCGAGGGCTTGGGAACTTCCTGACACAGCGAGTCTCCAACCTTTGGCTCAACAAGCTCAATGACCTGGCTCAGGTACGAGAGGAGCCAGCCATGACATTCACAACGGACGCTACCGAGGTGCCCGAAGCCGACAAGCAGCAAGTGTAAAGTACTCTACGAGCACTGCACGAGCTCCACAATCAGCAGGGACATTCCGCATCGGGAGCGTTACAGGCACTCCTACGACAGCGTGGTTCACCAGTGGTTACTGCGACTTGCTGGGGACCTCAGGTGCAGTGCGTGCGAGAGGTACCAGAAGCGCCAGGCGCGACCAGTGGCCTCGGGCGAGATGGCCGAACCCCTGGAGGTGCTGCAAACCGATGGCTTCGATTGGGTTCATCCCGTGTCGGGGGTGCGTGTACGTGGATCCCTTCTGGTCGACGAGGGGAGCGACAAGGCTCTCGAGAGGATTCACAGCGTGGTCCCCTCAGGGGGCAACACGGGGAACACGACCGCGGACGAGACGTGGGAGTTCGTCGTGAATGATGTAGGCACTCTGGCAAGCCGCTGAAGGTTCGATCCGATCCTGACGGCAACTACCGCTCGCATGACCTCCAGGACCACGCCGCCGACGTCAGCATCCGCCTGGACCCCGAACCTGCCGAGGCTCATTGGAAGACTGGGCGTGTGGAGTCCACGATCGGCCTGGTCAAGGAGGCGGCGACACGCATGGCATGCCTGGATCTGACCTGCTCCCTTAAGGAGATATTCCACTGGGTCATCGTCGCCCACAATCGAGATGTCCAACAGAGACGGCGTGAGTCCTGACACGATCATACTGGGGGACAGTGCGCTCCACGGGACGGTCCGCCAACTCGCGGCAGAGACGCGGAGTGGATCACCCGCGGAGATGTGCATGCAACGACGTATGCAGGCATGACAATGATATGCTGGAGCTCAAGACGACAAGAAGCCGAGACTCGCCCGACTGGCGAGGAGTCGAGCACACAAGGTCTACGAGTGCGGCGAGCTGGTGTTCGTGTGGAGAGAGCCTGGGACGAAGCGAGAAAAGACTACCAAGAGCTCCAAGGGAGGCTACATCGGGCCCGCGGTGGTGCATTCTCATCTTCGTGACCCCCGGGAGGGCAGCCATCGAAACATCGTTCTGCTGGTCTACCGTAATCATGTGCTGAAGGCTACACCTCAGCAGCATCGGTTGGCTTCCGGGGCGGAGACGACCTTCCACGAGATGGATACCGAGATAGCCCGTTTCCTCCCCAGCAAGACGCAGGAAATGATCGACAGACTACACTCAGTCCTAGACCTACGGGGCGCAGAATCACCAGCCGACGGCGACCTCGAGGAGTACGAGCCTCCTCCGAGGAGGTCGACATGAGGTTCTCGGCGCGGGCCCGCAGAGAACTTGGTATCAAAACTTGTGAAGTGTCCGCCAGCGCTCGACGCACTGGAGAGCTCGGTAGAGAGCTGCCCGCTCGCAATGGACCAGTCCATCTTGAGCCAAAGTGGCAACGGAATGGAGGAGGAGCCCTCTCACCCTACGAGCTGCCCTACGCAGACATGGAGGTCGAGGAGCCCGAGCCTCCTCCGCCTGCCGAGCCTCCGCCCCACGCCGAGGGACCTGCCACGGCGGCCCCCGACGGGGCCACCGAGTCTCCAGCAGCTGAGCCGCCTGCTCAAGCCGACCTGTATCCGGTATCCGCCTCCTCCTCCTCCTCCTCCTCCTCCTCCTCCTCCTCCTCCTCCTCCTCCTCCTCCTCCTCCTCACATCATCATCATCATCATCATCATCATCATCATCATCATCATCATCATCATCATCATCATCATCATCATCATCATCATCATCATCAGCACATCATCATCATCATCAACATCATCACCATTATCATCATCATCAGCATCATCATCATCAGCAGCATCATCGTCATCATCATCAGCATCATCATTAGCATCATCATCAGCATCATCATCATCAGCAGCATCATCATCATCATCATCATCAGCATCAGCATCATCATCATCGGCATCATCATCATCATCCTCAGCAGCAGCATCATCATCAGCATCATGATCATCATCATCATCATCCTCAGCAGCAGCATCATCATCAGCATCATGATCATCATCATCATCATCATCATCATCATCATCAGCATCAGCATCAGCATCATCATCATCGGCATCATCATCATCATCCTCAGCAGCAGCAGCATCATCATCATCATCATCCTCAGCAGCAGCATCATCATCAGCATCATGATCATCATCATCATCATCATCATCATCATCATCATCAGCAGCATCCTCCTCCTCCTCGTCCTCCTCCTCCTCCTCCTCCTCCTCCTCCTCCTCCCTCCTCGTGACGCCCAGGTGCCTGCACCTCGGCTCAGGAGCCCCCAAGGAGGGTGTCACCAACGAGGGTGGCCCTGCAGGACCACTGGGTGAACAGCAAGAGCCAGAGGTTCACGCAGCCGAACCTCCCCTCGAGGTACCCCTGGCACCACCGCAGACGGAGACCCTCGGCCAGCAGCGAAGCTGCAGCCATCTGGACAGCGTGCCTGCGAACCCGAAGGGAGTCAAGCGGACCACCATCGACGCGGAGCTCCAGATGCCAAAGGGTAACCGCACCAGGCGCGAGCACGTGAACTGGGACAGCGTGCTCGCCAGCGTGGGCTCCGAGGAGAACGCCTTTTACCGTGATCTGCCGACCTCCCCGGCGACAGAAAGACCAAGAGCGGTGAGTGCTTCCTGAAGAACCCCACCGACTGGGGCCCCGAGCTGAAAGAGCGCAGCATGGACTCGAGACTACGGGGGCGTTTCCGCGAGGCGAAGGCCCTGGAGATCTCGAGCTGGCTGGCCAACAGGGTGACCGAGCGGGCCCTGCGCGAGGCCTGACTGTCAAGAGCGACGGGACGGCCAGAGCTCGAGTCGTGCTACTGGGTTTTCAAAACCATCGACTGGGTGCTGTGGCTACCGCGAGTCACACAATCTCGGTCCGAGGCCGAGACTTGGCTCTCCAAGTGTGCGCCAACCTCAAGATCCGACTCGTCAGAGGCGATGTGAAAGCGGCCTTCCTCCAGTCTCAGGCTTCACAAGCGGGGATCCTGGCGGAGCCCGTGAGGGAGCTCAGGGAGGCCATGAAGCTCGAGGAGGACGAGGCGGTTATGCTGCTCAAGAAGGCCTACGGCTTGCGTGACGCCCAGAAGGAGCTGTTCGATGAGATCTCGCCCAAGATGACCACTGCAGGCGGGGTACCCAATGGAACTGGAGCCATGTCTGTGGGTGCTGTATGACGGCACGAAGATTGTGGGCATTGCGTTCGCCCACGTAGACGACATGGTCATCGGGGTCGACCTGGACAGCGACCTCGCGAACCGCAAGCTGACGGAGCTCAAGGGCTACTGAAACTGGGGCTAATGGGAGGCTGACCACTTCAATCAGACAGGCCTCCAGGTTACCCAGCTCGCCGACGGGACCATCCAGCAGTCGTTCCAGAAGGTAGCCAAGAAGGTGACCATGATCGAGGGTTGGCAGAAGCCCTCCAACGGGAAGCGCGAGGACGAGTTACCACTAGCTAGCAAGACCGCCTGTCGGGCAGCCATCGGAGGATTGCAATACCTCGCCAGCCAGGGGAAGCATCACGGCATCATACCAGAACGAGGCCACCTATGCGACGGTGCAGAAAGTGAACAAGATCGTGCGGACCACCCACGAAGTGGCGGACATGATGATCAACTACCGACCTTTTCGGGATGCTGCGTTGGTGACTTTTCATGACGGAGCCTGGGCAATACGACGTGACGGCAAATCTCAAGGTGGCTTCATCACCTCCATGGCGGAACGACGGATCCTAGACGGAGCTCGCTCACCCACAAGGGAAGCGTAGAAGCTCGTGCCGTGCTGATTTACTTCCTGACCCGCAGCTACTGGAGGCGTTTACACGATGATACGCTTACCTCGGCCACGAAGCGCATGGCAGCTGACCGACACGACATCTTGGACGATGGAGTGATCAGGGACGGTCGATCTGTCACCTACCACGATAATGAGGATCGCGAGTACTAGATGTGCGACTGGACGCGGAACGACCGCGAGCACGGCTACCTCTACGAGCTCGAGGACGAGGACGACCTCCCCGTTTGAAGCGTGCGGTGCCCAAAGCGTGCATTCTTACGATATGTGCTATCGCCCTCTCTCTCTCTCTCGCTCGCATACTCGCTTGCACTTCTACTGCCATCTAAGAGACAAGCTGCGGTCGTGAGAAACAAAGAGCTCATCTGCATCCAACGAAACACCCGTGGATTTGGAGAGGGGGGAGGGCCGGGAGCAGGCGGAGGCACAGGGCGCAGACACGGGAGTGGCGGCAGCAGGGAGGGGGGCGGGCGGGCGGCGGCGAGGGTGGGCGGGGGGGGGGGCGAGGGCGAGGGCGGGGGGGGCGGGAGCGGAGGCGCAGGCAGAGGAAGAAAGAGAAAGGCGAGGCGCCAAGCTCTTCGGGGGGCCGCGCGGGGCTTCTCGGGTCGGCGCCGATATCCCATCCCCCGCGCCACGGGGCCTCCGCAAGAGATCCGCGCCGACCCGAGCAGTCCGCGGGGGCATCCGAGAGGTCGTGCTCATCCCAATATTCAACCAGCCTCGAACTTATCCCTATCCCTAAGATGGGCGAGCAAAAAGCGAGGACAATCTTAGGGATGGGCCCTCAGAACCTGAGGGAATCCTCAAGATCGGCATCGAGGTGAGGTGATGTCAAACATAGGGATAGGGATATGTTTCAAACTGGTAAATGTTTCTCCTTCTTCGAACTTTCAGGCCCGCCCGGGGGAGACCGTTGCCGCTCTTGAGGACGAGGGCGGGCAGCGCGGTGACAAGTACGAGGAAGTCCAGGATGTTCCAAGGCTCCTCCCCCGTCCATCCAGAAAGGGGTGCCCAGGACATGCATCGGATATTGAGCCCTTCGGCACGCCCAAATGAGCACGCTTGCACACATCACCTGCGCACGCCGCGGAACAAAACCCTACCTCCGGCAACTGGTGGCACACAATGCATGTCCACCAGCCGTTATCAGGACACGCGAGCGATGGCCCGACCGGGCCCGGAGACTCCGAAATCGCGAGAGGCTGGACTCGGCTGCGACCAACCCACCACAAGAAAAGAGAGCACGATCGTCGTGATCGACCTCCCTGCAGATGTGGGCCATGAGCGCCTGTCACGATCCACTCATGGATAAGAGCGGCACGGGTGTCGTCATGTGAAGGCCCACAAGAAAGTAACACGTGGGAGTGGCGATGGCCTCCCACTCGTGCTGAGCCTAGCTATCCGCCAGATGGTTGCCACGGGAAACAGAAACGCCCCGTCAAACTCTAAAGAAAGAGCATACGACCAAGTGAGCGTAGCGCTTGCGCAGAACTTCGGGGCACTCGCCACGCCTCATCAGACCTTCCCCGAAGCAGGCCCACTAACGAGCTAGCTTACATCGAGACCTCTGAGCACGGCCGGCGATGGACAAAGAACGTCGAGAACCTGAAGGGCGCTGTCGAAAATCACTGGCACAAAAATGGCACGCAGGGCCCACTACAGGACCACAAGCTCCGTAAACTGGCTCCGTAAACTGGGACCGCTCGGTACCCGTCCACAATACCATACAGCACTCGAATCCACGTACAGATACGATTGCCGATCTAGCCACCTAGCCCACGTGGCACACCCAGCCATCATCACAAAACTGGTGGGCCCATCCAGGAAACCACCTGCGCAGGCATGGATGGGATACGACGAGTGGAGCGCAAGGAAAACGGGAAGAGGGGGGGGGGCGGCACACTCCGCATACCCTACGTCCCAATGCCCTATCACTCGAGGCACATCCATTATTGTCTCATTCTGCTTTTTACTTGGCACACAAATTGCGAATAAACTATGTCGTCTCCAAAAGCGTCGAAGCCAACTCGTACGGCCGGTACTCCCGTCAAGGACGTTTTGCAGCCTATCGCAGGGAGAGCGAAGCAGCACCGCATCCACAGTCCACTACATGAGATGGACGGGCTCACCGACGTGTTCGACAGCGGGCTCAGAGCTCAACGTCAACGTCACTTCCAAGACAGATTGGCGGCAACGTCCAGCACCAACGACGGAACATCACCAGCGTCAAGGCCGGATACACTGGACGCTATTGAACGTATGTTTCAGAAGCAGCTCGAAAACGAACTGCACCCGATCTGGCAGGATATCACCGCCATCAACAAGCATGGCAGATCGAGGGCTGGAATGCAAGATTCTTTGGCTCCAACTAAATGGGAGATAGATCAGCTTACAGTCCGGATGGACACTCTCGAAAACCTTGCCCGACCCCATTCCACAGCAGCGGGGATGGCCGGCATGGCATCACAAATTGAAGCCAAGTTGTCGGAGTTGGGAAAACAGTGCGCAGAGTCGACGACCAGCAAAGAAAAACATAGCAATGCGGTTATCAGAGGTTTGGGCGACTTCCGAGACCACGGCTCGGCTACACAAATCCTCAACAATCAATTTCCCCACCACAACATACCAAAGCTGGTCGACTATTTGTAAGGGCGATTTTAACGCGATCATCTTCGTCAAAAACTCTACCGTGGACGCTCGGGACAAATTCGTCAACGTTTCCGGGAAAGCCCAGATAAAACACAACACTTACATCATATGGACGCGCGCCGACCAGCCGATTGAGAAGCGCGTGCCAGAAAGCTTTCTATTCGGGCTCCGCAAGCAATTTATGAATTTGGGGTACTTGAATGGAGAACTACGTGTCGACACGACTGTGAAAGTCGTAAACAATGACATTGAAATAGTTCAGGAAGGACCGTGGGCAAACTGGAGCGAGCTTACTGACAGTGCGGAAATGCAACACCTTACCACAAGAGCCAACGACAATTTGAGCCGGGCTGCGAAAGGAAATGGAAAAGGCAAGAAGGGAGGAAAACGATGGGGCAAGGGCGCCGAGTAGAGACTCGGACGGCGCATTGGCAACACGATCACAGCCAGACAAGGCAGATGGGTAACATTCCCATGGTCGCCCATGTCGTGTGGCAGAAGTGGCACATGGCGTGTCGAAGGCATTATCTTGGACCGGCCGCATAAACTTTTCGAGGTTACCATACACATGCAAGATTTGGACATCGCAATGCTGTCTTCAAGAGACCCACTGCCGAAGTTCATCTTATCTGGACGGGAAGAAGAATCTAAACAATACGCGGGCGTCCGTTTTATCATATCTCCTCGGGCGAAGCACGCTGTCCAGGGCTAAATCCGGAAAAATGACCGCATGGCGAGCTCGCGAATACGAGTTTCTGGAGGGACTGACATTAGTAAATGCGTACTCCAACACCAACACAAAAGATTATGATTCTGATGTACGTCGTGATTACTATTGTGATTCGGCCGCATTTGCTACAAAATGTCGCTCACATGGGCCAATTATTATACTCGGTGACTTCAACGCTCGGCCGCTTGACCAATACCCGGGGGAGGAAGACGTCCTGGGAGAACATCTGTATATATATATATATACCAGAAACATGTATCTTCGTGGTCACCTACACCAAACAGGAAACTATTGGTTGAATTATGCCACGAATGCTAGTCTTGTGTCGCGAACACGTCTTACAAACACAGCGCGAGCATATCGTGACGTATCACAATATTGGCGTGGACCCATCAAGCGACGGTTTGCCAGGGAGCTGAGAGCAGTTGGATCAAATCATACTAAATGAATAAGTGGTTGTCTTGAATTTTGGGTGTTTGGGATGATCGGAGTCGGCCGCTTCAGTCGCATCATGTTGCGCTGATTGTAGGCCTTAGCATCACAATTCTGAAATCATACCAGAAGCGCAGAAAGGTTCAATTCCACGTGAAGGCACTGCAGAACCAGGACACGAAAGTCACGTACGTTCTCACTCTTTGAGGGAATGGCAGAAAGGTGCACGTAGCGCCTCATTAGGAGATCACTCTTCCACAGTAACACGGTGCATGCTGCAATCGGCTTCTGCGTGCATCCCAACCCGAGCAACACCGCGATTACGTCCCTGGATACTGGACCGCACGCTCCACTTGATCGAAAAGCGGAACAAGCTACGACAAATAGGGCAGGCGGTTCACGGTGTCACATAACAAATCTTTAATGAGATGATCCAAAAGTCTCCAAGGAAGACCAGAAACACTACCTTACAGGAAGTATTGCAACGAATGGGTGGGAGGCTATCAAACCATTGCGGAAGAATGCTGCTACGAAGTGCGGGCGGCTCTGGGATGCCCAAGGTGACTTGGTAGACGCATCCCAGCGGGCAACCACCATGGCAGATGACCTGGAGACGGTGCAGTAGCGAGCAGCAGAAGACACCCTAATGCTGGAACAACCACTCAAGATGGATATCTAGACGTTGAGGTAGGGCCGGTCACATCATAAGAAACAAAAGAGGCAGTGAAACAACTTCATATACAGCGAGCTGCTGGGACCGATGGAGTGCCACCAGAACTATGGCCGATGGAGTGCCACCAGAACTATGGAAATCACTATTTAACACTACGGCCGCGGTGGACATATTGACATCATGATGTAATTCGTGCTGGGAGATCAAAGACATCCCAGAAGAATTAAGAAAGCATCTGTTGCAACACTATTTGAAAGAAGAGACACGTCCCGGCTTTCCAATTATCAGCCCATTCTCATTTGCTCACAGTGGGATACAAGATATTTGCCCGCATTTTGTCAAAATCACTCAAACGTGGGGGGGCCGAAGAACCACTAAGGGAGTCTCCATGATGGTTTCTGGCCCCGCCGTGGCACGAGCGAAGCGCTGTTCTTGGCGCGCCGGCTGATCGACGCTACATTGGAGGACAAAGATGGCAAATGATTGCTCCTACTTCTGGATTCGAGCGAAGCTTTCGACCGCATCAGCCCCAGAAGGCTTGCACCCGCACTACAACAATTTCCCGTCCCACCGGCAATGGTCGAGATGATCATCAAAGACATATGCCAAGTACGTAAGTTCGTCGTCCAAGACGCAGACGCGAAGTCATCGCAGAGAGCACAGTCCGCTGGAACCGCTCAAGGGTGCCCACTTTCGCCATATTTGCTTATCAAAAGTATGTCAAATTTCTTGGAAACTGTAGAGAAACGCTTGGCAGTGGAAAAACCAAACAGGGATATCCAATCATACCTGGTCGCTGACGATGTGCTGTACGCAGACGACACCATGATGGTCTCCAGGGACTCTGACGCGCTCCAAACACATTGGTGGTTGCATTTGACAAAAAATACGGGCTGGAATTAAACCCTGGGAAAACAATACTATTGCATATAATAGCAAAGGCAGTTACTGTTGGACCAGACGATGAACCAATAATGTGCAAAAGTAATGCAGTATATCTGGTGGGCCTCTTACGCGTCGACGGGAACCCTCGCGCGGAACTAACACGAAAACTTCGTGAAGCCAAAGGCGTATTTCGAGAATTGTGCTTGATTTCGAACCACGCCAGTTTGGGGAAAACTTGGAGGTATCGTAAATTGGAGGCGTGCGTGTTCTAAAAACTTACATGGACTGGAACCGTGCATGCTCTTGAATGTGGACAGAGACAGCTTCGATGGATTCCAGGCAGGGTGTCTGCGAAAAATACAGAAGATTTTGCCGACATTCGTATCCAGAGCGAGCAATGCAGAAATTTGCGGAATCGCCAACACCGGGCCGTTATACTTATCTTTGTTGGGATGGCAGCGTAAGCTCTATGGAAAACTTGCCTTGGACGCTCCAAACAGCCTTCCTAAAGCGATGGTTTTCGAAAGTTGCCAGATTACCAGGTGGCACCACTGAAATTGAATATTCGACGCTCGCGAGGGCGGCCTTAATTACAATGGAGGTCCTACTTACGCGCGCAGGCCTTGGCCGAAACAGGAGGCGACCGCGACAAGCTGCAAACCATACTGCAAAACCCGTCTGGGTAGCATTCAACTGTAACGCAACGCTGTTCAGTCTAATCACACTCTTCCATTCCTCGTCCCCCTCACTCCCCTTTCCTCTTCCCTGGACGCAGCTTCGCTGTCCACCCTCGCGCTGTACCGGCATGATTGTGCACTGCAATCCGAGGCCCGGCGATGCCCGCGTGCTTGCACGGTTGAGCCCTGCATTTTCCCTGACCGCATGTGCTACCAATTAGTTCGCCAATGCGCCGTCTAGCCGTCTAGGTGCGGCTTCTTTCGTTCGTTCGTTCGAAGGGGGGGCATCGAATCGGTAAATCGAATCGGATCGGAACGCGCGTCGGATCGGGATGGACCGGCAAGGAGTCGGCATCGATTCGGATCGGCTGCGCCAGGATGCACGGCAGCGCCATGCAGGCGTCGGACTTCGTCGGATCGACAGACAACGATTCGGATCGGGAAGGCCGAAGTCGACATTGGCTCGGATCGATCGAATGGAACGGACCCCTGGGAGGGAGAGAAGGAGGGAGGGAAGGGAGGCACCTGCACTGGCAGAGGCAACAGGGCTGCCGGCCCGCCCGCGACCTCTGCCCCTTCAGCAGGAGCCCCTGTCGACGACGACGACGATAACGACGACGACGACCACCAACACCATCACGGCCTCGACGACGACATCGCCGTCGCGGCGGCGTCCGCGACGACAACTGCGGCGACGACGGCGGCGTTGGCGACGACGGCGACGACGACGGCGGCGGCGGCGACGGGGACGGCGACGACGACCACCCGCGCCCCTCCCTGAAGTAGGAGTGTCTGTCGCACATGAGGCCCCAGGCGATGACCTCTGGCAGCCGCGGGCGAGAATCCTCCTCCTCCTCCTCCTCCTCCTTTTCCTCCTTCTCCTCCTCTTCCTCCCCCCTCCTCCTCTTCAACCTCTCCGTCCTCCTCCTCCTCCTCCTCCTCCTCCTCCTCCTCCTCCTCCTCCTCCTCCTCCTCCCCCTCTCATCCCCTTCTTACTCTTCATCTGCCCCCTCCTCATCATTATCCTCCTCCTCTCGTCCCCCTCCTCCTCCTCCTTCTCCTCCTCATCATCATCGTAATTATCATCATCAACATCAGCAGCAGCAGCATCATCAGCATCAGCACCATCATCACCATCATCACCATCATCATCATCATCATCATCATCATCATCATCATCATCATCATCATCATCATCATCATCATCATCATCACCAACATGTTCATCCTCATCCTCATCCTCATCCTCATCCGCCCGGGCCTTGAGCACGAACTCGCTTGCGCAGAACGAGGTGAAAATGGGCTCGGCGACCATGTCGACGAACCAGTTCAGGCCTCAAAGGCGATAGTCCCACCAGGGGAGTGGGACGGAACGAGGGGGCGGGGGGGTATCGGGCACCGCGACTGTTCCAAAGCGTCCCAGACCCTCTCCAAAACCTCCTGCAACGTTCTGGGAGCATTCCGGAACGCTCTGCCTCGACTTATCTTCATCCAAAGGCCTACCTGGACAGCATAGCCGAGGTGGTTCGGGAGAAAAGGGCGAGCAAGAAGAGCAAAGGCAAAGGGGGCAATGTTGAAGGGGAATACAAAAGGGGATCAGCATAGGAGCAAACAGCACATCGTCTGCTGGCGACCTGACTTGTTGTCCTCCCTGTACTGGTAAGCCGCCAAGAGCACCGAGTTTACAAAGATCAGCGACATAACAAACCTGATCCAGCAGGCGGTGCAGAAAAGGAGAACGATCACGAGGAAGGCAAGGAGGACAAGAACAAGGAGGAAGCACGCAAGGATGAGAAGGGACGGCGAGGAGGGCGAAACTAGAAGTTAAGGTTCAGGATGAATGGGCACTGTTTTCGGTGCAAAGGGTGAAACCAAACCCATGTGTCAGACGGGAATAAGACCGGACACGGCAGGTTCCAACCTGCCGTACCACAGAAGAACAAGGGCGGCGGCGGGAGAGAGACGTTTAGGCAATGCAGGGGGGTAGACCTACCGTTCAAGTCTGGTGATTGAACGACCCCGCCTGCATAAGCAAACCGCACCCAAATCAACGAAGGCGCAGTAAGCAAAGATTACATTATACAAGATTACATTATACTGACCATGTCCCTCAAAAAGACTGGCGAGCATGCCAGGCAGCAGATTACTGGACGGAGCAAGCCCTCATTCACTGGCGTGCTCAACTTCCCGTCATCAGCTGCCACGCCAACATAGTTAGCGCCAGCGGCCCACACTTGCACACTTTGATTCTCACATCTCCCCCTAGTGATCTGCCAGCCACACGTCGCGCTCAGGGACAGTCCGTGAGATGCGAAAGCCAAATGATTCAACCTTTCGGGTCTCACCTTCCTCTCTTGGTGAGGCTGCCACGCTGTGAGCTAGGCACGGCCATGATGTGCTTCTCTTAGCTCTGCCTGACTGTCTGGTGGTCGTAGTTGAGCCCGCCGCCCTTTACACTCAAAATGGGGTCGCGGCCGATGCCCCCCCTGCGACAGGGGGCGCGGGCTTGCGATTGCAGAAGCTGCACCAGCGTTCTTTCGCGCATGCGCAGGCCCAGAAGAGGCGCGCACCACGCTGTTCAACGGGAGCGTCGCGCAGCTCGGCACCATCTGCGGCGATGTCCCCGCCGCGGGAGCCGACGGCGTCAGCGTCGGTGACGGAGTCGACACCAGCTGCCGAAGATGCCCCCTGCGCTGGCGGCTGCAGGCACGGGCGGGCTCGATGCCGATCCCACCACAGCTGGGCCCACACCATCCAAGCTCGTTCCAGCTACGGCGCCACAGGCAAGCCGAGCCTGATCTCGCGCGGGTGCACCCGTACGGAAACGGCGCTGTCGGGCAGAGTGGACCGCCGAGGCGAGGCTGCAAGCCGCCGCAGCTGGCCTGTCATGCGCGCGAGCTGCTGGGCGCTCGCGGGGCAGGCCATGCCGCGGCGCTGCAAGACCATGGCCAGTTTGATGTTCGACACACCAACGGCGCGCAGCAGGAGGAAGCTGAGGCCCTCGTCGCCGATCATGAGTTGACCAGCTCGCTACGCCTGGATGCGAGGGATGTCGAGCGAGGCGCGCGGCAAAGTTGTCGATGCACTCTTGCGGCAGTCTGCTGAAGTTAATGAGTGCCGACACTGCCAGGACGCACTCCCCTCGCCCAAATGTCCACACCGTCTGGCCGAACGGTGCATCAGGAAGGCCATCGGCGGCACTGGGTTGCCGTTAAGGATTACTCCGTGGATCAGGACAGCTGGCGGCCATTCGTCCACGCATTCGCGCGCTAAGCCAGCGAGGCGCGACGTGATGTAGACCACCTGGCGAAACTCGCTGAAGTCTGACTTCGCCACTGACCAGATCATCGCCTCCCGCACACACTGCTGGAAGTGGCACGCGAGCGCGTTGCTCGGTCCCCCAGGTGCGGAGTTGTCACATGTTGCCGCTGCGTCCACCCACGCCCATGCAGGTGCCCACTCCGAGGGCCTTCCATCCGGAGTGTAAATCCCACGTGTCGTAGAGGTGGTGGAGGCCAGGGATCCACCAGCGTCGCCACTCGGAAATTGCGCCTCCGTGACGCCGTGGGCACCCTCAAACATATTTATCCTCGTCTGCGCACTGGGCGTATGTTTCCGTCGCGTGGTTCTGGTGCCCTCGGTACTCAAGGCATCCAGTGACACAGGCACGGGAAAGCTCCTCCTACGTCGAGTTGCCACTGCACCGGAAATCGCCAATTGTACGATCGCCAGAAAGACCGCGCATCGAGACCCTTTCATGCCAGGCTACAGAGACTGAGTGGGTAAGGTGAAAGGTCGCGTAACAGGGAACAGAACAATGAATCTCCCCGTTCCGATTCGCTGTCCCTCGGAACTATGGCAACAGAGTCGCCAGGCCCTCCATTGCCTCCCCGCTCTTCTTTGCTTGCTCCACCCACAGCTCTCGCGACACACTCACCGGAAGCCAGGGGCCCTTAACTGACACCGTAGATGTGAACATTGTATCGAGTAACTGTTCAACATGTGCGGCTACACCAACGGGCGGGTGCCTTGACAGCGCGGGGTCCGCGAGCTGCGTTGACACACTGAGCGCAAGCCCAGAAAGGCTCACTGAAAGCTTCAGCGCGCAACAAGGGTCCTTGTAGTTCTGTTTCGAATACTGGTAATGAGACTGATTGCGCACGTTCCCCGTAGGCGGGGGGGCGGCTGCCCCGAAGGGGAGCAGGAAAAAGCACACGAACGCGATGAAGGAGGACGGCCAACGTGGTGGACAGCGAGAGCTGGAGCCTGTGCCATCGATGCGGCATGAGAGCGAGAAGCCGTCGCGGCCGTATCATTGAAGCCGAAGCAGCGCTACCAATCAAAAATTGATGCAAGGGGCGGATATGAAGGCGGACCTTGTTCTGGTGACCGGCGCGAGCGGTATGAAAGCGGTGGAACGCGATAATACGGCGGGCAAGGCGCACTGACCAGGCTTTGGGCTAAAACAGCGGCGGGCCCAGGGTGAAACTGGCAGAGCCGGCACCGCTCGAGTAGAGGAGGGCGGAGGAGGGGAACGGCGACAACGATGGTGAAGACTCGGATCCTGAAAAGCGACCCGCGCGGGCGCGAGAGCGCCATCCTGGACGATGGAGGAGGAGGAGGAGGAGGAGGAGGAGGAGGAGGAGGAGGAGGAGGAGGGGAGTAGAGCGCCGATCCGAAAATGAGGCCCACGCCGGAGCGAGGAGCCCCATTCTGCAGCACCCGAGGCCGTCGGGCTGCCGAGGACCGTGGGACAAGCAGCTGTTGCCCGCTGACGTGCGCAAGAGCAGGACGCGGAGAGGGCGGTGCATCTGCGGGACAGGGTCGGGGGAGAAAGGGAGAAGAGCACTCAGAACGTGCCATCGTGCAGAGGACGGGGGGGGACAGGAGAGGCGGCGGCGAAGGGACCAGGAGGGGGACACATGGGAAGACGGGAGATCACACCGCCACAACCGGCCACAACAGAGGGACGGGGGGGCGGGGGCGGGGCTCAAAAGTTGGGGGGGGGGGGAGCACCAGACCTGGGCTGCAGCCCCCCACAGGGCCGCCACCCGCTCAGCGGGCGAGACTCTCAGAGACCGGGGGGGGCATCGTGCGAGTGGCGGCCAGAAGCCGCCTCCCAGGGCCTAAAGAGGAAGGGGGGGAAGGGAAGAAGGGAGGGGGGGAAGGGAGGGGGGGAAGGGAGGGAGGGAAAGGGGGGGGGCAGGAGTGTCAGAGTCCTCTACCTCCACTTTTCTTGTCCTTGTCTCTCTCTCTCTCTCTCTCTCTCTCTATCTCGCTATGTCTTCCTTTGTTCTCTCTCTCTCTCTCTGTCTCTCTCTCTGTCTCTCTCTCTCTCTCCCTCTTTCTCTCTCTCTCTCTCTCTCTCTCTCTCATATATATATACATATATATATATATACATATATATAGATCCTTCTCTCTCTCTCTCTCTCTCTCTCTTACTCTTATAAATATATGTAGTTATCTCTCTCTCTCTCTACAGACACGAAAAATGGCAAACGGGTGAACATCTGTATGCGAGTGTATGAGTGGCCCTCCGCACACCCGGGGGACAGGGGAGGGCGACACCGCAGCCCCCGGCGGGGCAGGGGAAGGCGGCGCAGGCGCGGAGGCACTTGTCGAACCACGGCCACTCTATGAGCGATATGACCTGCGCGGGCGGCTTGGGATACGAGGAGGAAGAGCAGCGGGAGGAGAAGGGTGGTGCGATAAAAAGCGAGGAGAAGAGTCGGGAAGAGCACGCTGGGAGATGGTGGACTAGGACCACGAGGGAGAAGAGAAGATGGAGGCAAGCGATGGAGAGTTAGGGGATGAAGAAGGCAAGAACGGACAAGAGGAAGCGACGGAGGACGAGAAGGGGAGAAAGGAAGGAATAACGGGAGGAGGCGCAGCACAAGAAGAGGGAAGAGAGGGAGGATAAGAAGAATAAGGAAGAAAAAAGGGGGAGTAAGAAGAGGGATGAAATAACGATCCATCCTCCAAGCACCATCCTTCCGTCATCATCATCATCATCATCATCATCATCATCATCATCATCATCATCAGCATCATCATCATCATCATCATCATCATCATCATCATCATCATCATCATCATCATCATCATCATCATCATAATCATCATCATCATCATCATCATCATCATCATCATCATCATCATCATCATCATCATCATCATCATCCTCATCCTCATCATCATCATCATCATGACCATTACCATTGCACTCATCATCAGCATCAGCATCATCATAACCATCATATGCAGCATAATCATCCTGGTCGTCGTCATCGACATCGTCATCATCGTCGCCGCACTCACCACAAGCCTAAGCATCACCATCATCATCGTCCTCGTCATCACCATCACCATCACCATCCTGATGACCATAACCAATTTCATCAGTATCGCCCTCATCAACATCAGCCACAACAACAGCATCCCCATCATCAGCAACAGATGCCACCACAATTACGATTGTTACCATCATCAACGGCATCATCCTCATCGTCATCATCACCAGGATCGTCATCATCATCATCATCGTCATCATCCTGCCATGATCGACATCATCCTGCCGACGTTGGAAATGGATTTGAATTCTGACAGGCAACCTCATCAGCACCCATTGATGCCAGAGCCCCTGACAGGTCCAGATTTTGCTCTCAAGAAGCTTGTGTGTCGAATTGCCACAAGAATTACCAGGACCAACGCAAACTTGAGTCCAGGCCACTAAGATCAACTAGGTGATGACCTGGTCAAGCACTAAATTGTTACGCAATTTGCCCGTGAGCCACGCCGAAAATTACCAGATGAGTCTACCAGGTGAATCTCTGGAAAATCCGTGGTTTTCGTCCCGCCCTCTCCGTCCCTCCCACCTCCTCCTCCACCCGCGCCCCAACTATCGGCAGCTGTCCTGTCTCGGGTAGCCGCCAACCGTGCGGAAGCCTTCAGAAGGAGAAGAAAGCGTGCATCATAAGGGCGACCGCAGAAGGAGGGAGGCAAGGCGAGGGCCACTCACGGGGGACGGATCACTTCCCTGGGCGTGCTGGCGCGGCCATCCGCGCCAGCGGGGACTGAGGCGGCCGCTGCGCCAGTGCACCTGCTGAGGCGGGGCCCATCGCGGGCACTGCAAGTCAAAACAGCGAGTTGCCGACGGAGAGCACGAAGTGCAAGGCGGGCGGGCCGCGCGCCGGCCAGGTGGGGGCGCGGAAGGCGGGGCGAGCCCGCCTGGGCGATGGACCAGGGCGCGCGCCAGGTGCATGGTAGGCGGGCGGACTTGGCGCGGCGCTGCCCGGACTGGTCGGTCGTTGGGCCAGGTGGAGCCAGCGCGTCGCTCGCCTTTCCCCGCGGGGCCCTGGCCCTGGACTTCGCCCTTGCCCTTGCCCCGTTGCCGCTGCCCGTGGCGCTGGGCCTGCTTCCGACGGGCGGCCTTCCAATCGACCCAGGGGCGACTGCTGCAGACCAGGCGGATTTCAAAGTTCTCTTCCCGCAGCTGGAGCAATGAGCACTACTCCATCACGGAATCGGCCCTTCCCGAGTGGGTCGCAGGCGCCTCCGCCGGGCCGCCCGCCCCGGGCGTCGCAGGGCGCGCTCCAGCCTTCAACAACGTTTACTGTCGGCCGGCACGGTGGTTCCAGTCGCGGGACCAGCAAATGCTCCGGCGAGCCTCACTATACGAGACTGCCGCTGGGGCCATGGCGGCGCTCGCACCCGGCGCCGGCGAGAGGGGCCCCGTGCCCTGGGGGGGGGGACCGCATCGGTTGGGGAGGTTCCCCCGTTGCGGTGGTCGGTCGCTGGACCGGCGCACGCCACCTCGGCGCGCCGCTTGCGGGCGCGCTCCTGCCCTGCCATCCGAGGAGTCTTGCGCGCGCGTCGCTCGTCGGGGTCGACCGTCGTGCCCCTTCTCGCCACCAGGTCCGCGCGGGTGCCGGGGTCGCGCGAGCCGGCGTCGCCGCCCCCAACAGTTATGAGGTGCGACCTGGCGGTCGCGTTCGCACGCGGGGCCGTTGGGCGCTGTCAGGATGCGCGGATCGGCGCCGGTCGGGTTCGGGGGAGCCGAAATCCATGTCATTTTTTCCGCGCGCGGGAGACTGCGCGGGTGGGTTTTGGGCCCGGCGAGGGTAGGGGGTGGCGGCAGCGTGCTTAGCGCGGGGGGAGCTAGAGGCCGCTGTAGTGGGGCCTGCAGCAGAGCTGCTTGCCTCTCCCCGGGCTGTCCTGGGTCGGGTGTCGCGGGGCGCCCCGGCCCTAGGTCCGCCCGCAGGAGGGCCTGCTCTGATTTCTTTGCGGCCGGGCTCGGTGCCGGGGCTAGCTGCCGCGAACGGAACGCATTGTTCCAGCAGGGGTGGCTGTAGGTCCCGGATTCCTTGCGTGACAAAGAAGCTGGTGAGGAGCTGTCGGCTGTACCTGCTGGGGTCTTGGCCTTGCTCACGTAACGGCGCCCCACTGATCGCCCAGGTGGTCTTGCTTGTTAGCGATCGCCATTTCTGCCTGGCGAGGTAGGCAACTAGGTGCGCTGGGGCGGCTCGTCTCCCGTCCCAGGGCCTTCCTCCTGGGACCCCGTCGCTGGGGATGGCGAGGCCGCATGCGCGGGCGGGGAAGCTTTTGCAGCCCTCCTTCGCCCCTAACTAAATGCGAGGCCACGGCACGGGGATGGCGCGAGACCGGGGAGGTCGAAAAGCACGCCCAGGGTCGCGAGAGGCGTGGCAATGGTCGGGGCGGCAGCCTCTGGTAGGTAAGAGTCCCCGCTGTTGGGCTGGGGCGGGGGGCGCCTGCCTCTCCACTGGACTCGCCGCTCTGGGCCGGTTCTGTCGCTCGAGCTTCGACGTCTGGCCCACGGGGCCGCTGCCGCCAGCGGCGTGGGGAGGAGGCGCCGCCCGGGGCGCCCGAGCCGGCGCCGCTGCCTCTGCTGCGGCGCTCCTTTCTGCCGGTTCCAGCAGGGGGGGGCGGCGGGGGACCTGCTTTCGGAACATGGGCCGCTGCGAGCGTCTGCGAGGGTGGCTGCTGGGGCGGCGCCTTTCTCCCCCGTGGGAGTGCGCTGGTAGGCTGCGATCGCTCCCGCGCGGGGGCGCCCTCCGGCTGTCCTTGGGCGGGATCCGGTCCGTGGCTGAGGCGGGCAACTGGTGGCACGCGCGCGGGCCTCCCCTGCGCTGCCGGCTGCGCCGGCCGCGGGGGGCCTGGCGGGCTCCTGGGCCTGTCTCGCCGGGCGGGGCGGGTCGCGGATCGCCTCACCCTTCCTCGGCGGATGGCCTCCGCTGACTTGGCCGCCGAGGGGGTCATCGAGCTCCTGGGCCCTTTCGCCCTTGCCTGCTGGGGCTGGAGAGCGGTCGCTGCGTCTGGCGTTCGTGCCGGCCCAGGCCTAGAGCGGACTTGCGACTGGTAGCGGGGGCGCAGGGGGGCGCATTCGCTTGCACGGGGCGTCTGGGTAAACCCTGGTCCCGTCCCGGCGAGCATCTCCACCACGTCGGAAGGCCGCGCGCTGCAAAGGTCAACCGAGCAGCGGTCGCAGTACCAACTTGCGTCCCACTGCATGCTTGAAAAAGAGGTGACCCAGTCGCTGAACAGGAAGAGGCCGTGCCTGGGGGACTCGGAGTCGGGTGCACTTGGGCGGAGGATAAGCACTGCCCGCACGGACACTCGTGGGTCGAGGCGGCGCTGGGGCAGCGGTTGCATTTGCTCTTCCAACCGTCCGTCGTGGCTTCCCCCCCAAACC